ATCTTGCCTTACCCTCTGCTTCTTGGAGGATCCAAATGAAGAATTTGGAAGGATGAATTTATCCCAGAACAAAATTCAAGAATCTTGGGTTTATGGCACATTTATTTACTTTTTATAGGAACTATTTAATTACTATTTATTGCCAGTCAGTGAAGGATTCAGGATCTTATCTACCTAAGTTCCCTTTACAAACTGTTTTATGAATGTTTAGACTATTAGCTGCTCCTTTCTGGTCAATGTCTTTCACTGCTGTGTCGCTTCCATTTATCTTTAGGTGGTGAATATTTTGTAATAAGAAAGGTCAATATGAACAAGATCATGCTTAAAATTTGGTTGTACAGACTCAGATACAATGGAGGAGCAATACCATTGACATTAAAGCTTGAAGAGGACATTTTTTCAGTATACTTAGAAATATTGATCTTACTATAGATCAATACTATACTATAGTATATAGTATATAGTATTTATATACTATAGAAATATAAACAGGAAACCAAATAAATAGATGTAGTTAATATCTAGGAACACAAATTATCCTTAATAAATATGGGGTTTGATTAGAAAGTAGGATGGTGTTCATGAGATTCTTGAGGCAGAATCACAATGCTCTCACTTGGAACCAGTGAAGATCAATCAGGTACATAATTAGATTTTTCTCTCATGTGCTTGACAATATATATGTGTGTCCATTTGAGTCCTCCAAGAGAAAGATTTGGGGGAATCACCCACAAAAAATGAAGGAGGGGAGAGAACTGAAGTGGTAAGAGAGAAACTTCAGACTTCCATGCTGTGAAAGGGCAGAAAGAAGGAAAGAATGCTTAGGTAGAAGCATTCTACCTACTTAGGTGGAGGCACACACCACAGCACAATTCTGAGAGAGGTTGGCCTGGGCTGACAGGGTGGCTCTGCACAAAAGTCATCCACTGGAGGAGCCCTGTTATGTAAAAATTGCCCAGGACTAGTTACCTGTGCCCTGACAAGTCATTGTTTAGGAGCAGTTGGACGTAAGTGTGGCCTCAGCTTAAATGCAAAGGCAGATCCAAAAAGGTGGCAGCTAGAGCTTTCAGTCAACTATGCTTCCCATTTCAAGTTATCTTGAAGAAGTTATGAGTAGAGCACTTATGTAGCTACCCCAATATATAAAGAAGAATAGTAAAATAATAACCCCTATCATCAAGGCATTTGTAGTTTACTGAGTTCTTAGTCTCTCATTTCAGATCTCAGGACTCCAATTGTAACCTCTGCATTTTTGTTTTAATATGAAAGGTCAGATGATAATTTTGCTGCTCCTATGCCAGTACAGTAATGAACATGCCTTTGCAGTGGTTTTCCCCTACTGAGGAGAAATAGATCTGATTTTGATTTTCTTGTGACCTGCAGCTCACCAGATGGATCCAGTTATAGGGCAGATCAAGTAAACAATCAACACAGGATGGCAGCCTCGGCACCCAGAAGACCAATTCAATTTATCAGCCACTTTCCTCACCCCCTCCGCTTGAATAAATCCAAGTTTTTTTTTCTCACTGGCTGTTCTTTGGAGACTAAATCTTATTTTATAAAAAGTTTGAAATAATGATTTCATCTGGCTTTAGGAGGTTATGAGTAGAATATTGTGTTACCTGTAGCTGACAACATTCTGACTGACACAGTTGATGAGCAAGAATCTGAGCAGAGGGAGGTGACTGGTCTTGAGCTGAGGCTTGACAAACACATTTCCCCACTCAAATCCACCAAATTTAATGTCTACCTGACACTGTGAGTTCTGCTAAAATATGAAGAGATTTTGAAGACCGTACTTTTGCATATAAGCACTGTATGGTTCTCAGTTATGATTACAGTCTGGTCATTTAGACTTAGGTATCCATATAATTTATCATCTAAACTGAAATACTTTTGATAATAAAGGGGAGTGTGATCTATAATTATAACAAAACGATAGGTGTATACCTGCACTGTCGCAACAAAGTAGAAGGTTTGGCCATCTCATATCTATGCTGCAATTTACCTTTCTTAGATTGCCTAAATCAGTTATTTGCAAACAGTTTTCAACTCTTCCCACTTATGTTGTGTTGCTTCTTTCTAGTTTAATTCAGAGAGAGTAAGGGGGTTTCACACTTTGCCTAGTGATCTCACCTCCAGGGCCACTGTCAGATACATCAATGACTGCAATCCTCTCAGTCAGTAAATCTGCAGGCATGTGTTAATAAGCATGTCTATGACAAAACAGTTGTTTCCAGTTCACCCAGCTTTGGCACAAGTTCTTGTTGGACTCAGCAATGTGAGAGCAACATAAGGTAATATTGACTTTATTATATCAGCAAAGGGGGTGGGGGGAAATTTTGAGGTTTTTTTGCCTTCTACTGTTCACCCAGAGCATTTCTTAATTGCACAGTGACTTGAATTTGCCTATAGAAATGGAGGATAGACTGAAAAAGGATGTATGTGTTGGGAGTGTGTAGTTGTATATAATGCAGTTTGGGGAGGCATAGCCCACAGGGCTGGAGTAGGGCTCAGGGGTTTATGGCATTCATTGGTTTGCAAGGGTACACTGCATTTCAAACTCTTTGCTCACATCAGCAGGATTTTAAAAAATGTTCTTAGTTCTAATTTTGGTTGAAAACATTTATATATTTTTTGTGTAATCTGGTTTATTAGAGATATATGTGGATGTGTTTTTTGTTTTTTAGCAAAAATAATGACAAAACCACTAAGTTATCATTCATTGTTTACCAAATTAAGAAGGCTTTTGAATTTTTTTATTCAAAAAAAATTCAGTTTATAAGGGCAACAGTTCTGATGAGACTCAGAACAGAGGAAAGGATAGGAAGTTGCCCATACTCCCCTGCTCTTTAGATCTTCCTCTGTAATGCAGCTTCTCTGCCCATGTCTTTAACTTTTGTTTGGGAGATATAATAATGAAGTCTTCCAGGATGAGCACATTTTGAAGACGCATTCTCTCTCTATGAAAGGAAGAGCAAACTACCCCAATCTTTGATGGAGGATATTTCTGTGGCACATGGGAGCCTGGAGAGGCATTTGTTTTATGCACCATTTGCAATTGGTTGCTTTTTCTATAAATTTTTCCCCTAATTACAAAATGGCTCAGTATTATAATAGAAACTTTGGACAAAGTAGAGCGTACACACACAATATCTGCCATCCCACCAGTCAAATATCACTGCTCTTAATATCTGAGTGTATTTTTCTATACATCATTTTTTTATACATGCAGATTGACTTTGTGTGTGTGTGTGTGTGTGTGTGTATGTGTGTATACAAATATTCTGACAAAAATCAGATCACATTACAAGTTTTGCTTTGAATATTATACCCCATATCTTCTGGAAGGGAAGATGCTGTACAAGTTTCATACTGGGACTGGTTCCCACTGGACTTGTGAACAAGGACTGAGGGGAGGAAGATGGCAGAGACCACACAGCTGACTCATTTTGCTTTCCTGGAATCTCCAGGACTGGATGCTTTAACATGTGGATCTTCCAGCATGTAAAAAAAAAGCCTGGTTTTGCTTGCTGGACAAACAGAGATGTAGCTGGAATGATGGCAGAGTTCATCTCTGGGTATAATGAGAGGCTATTTCTCCGTAGAGGCTTAAGAAAGGTTTTTATAAGTTAATGTTGATTCAACACATTTGAATTACATATGTTTTCAACATGCTCAGAAATATGGAGTCACGGTACCACGCTGACTAGCAGAACACTCAGTTGCCACTCCACTCATGAATGGATATCTTGGCAAACAGACAGCTTGGCTGGGCTGTTTCTATTTTAGAGACAGAAAACCCAGAGAGTCTTGAAAAACTGAGCTGATATGTCTGCTCTAAGGCTCTCTACACATGAGAGCAGGTGCTGGCCCTTTTATTCAGAGCAATGTTGATACATGTGACACATGTCTTCTCATATAAGTAAATGTTCCCCTCTGAGCATACTGCTTTGGCTAGAACAACAATTTTATTTGTCAATGAGGAAAACACTAAATTACCCTTCCTCCCAAAATCTTAATATGTATCATTCCAGGTGTGGGATCTTTCACACTTTCACATATCTATTGTTCTAATCCTAAAATTTAATATAACCTCATGTGCTGGGAATTACAACAAAGATGAGATGAAGAAGGTTTTTTTTTAGTTCATCAAGATATTATAAATGACAGAACCTCATTTTTATCTACATAAAAATGCTCATTTTTATCTACAAGCCATTAGTTCTCATTTTGGGGGACTTTGCCTTCCAGGGGCATTTGTTAATGTTAGGAGATATTTTGGTTGCCACAGTGGGGCAAGGCAGTCTTACTGGCATCTAATGTTTTGAGGGATACTGCTGAACATCTTACAAAGCACAGGATAGCCCCCGACAAGAAAGAATTATCTGGCCCTAAGTGTCAAATATGCTGAGGTTGAGAGACCCTGGCATAGACTGTGTCTTTAATTTAATTAATCATGTCTTTAATTTTCTATATTTTATCATGTTCCAACATCTTAGAAGTCTTGCTGGCCACAGAAAGACTGCCCTTCTCAGGGCCGCTCTTTCTTAGAGAGAACAAAATGCTTGACTGCTAACATCTAGACCAATCCTGCATCTGTGGCCCAAACCACTCCTTATCTAATGCCACACATGAAATCTTATTTCCCCTGTCCTAAATCATCCCAACTAGGCAACTAGGGACCACATCTACAGACCAATGCCCTCTAGAATTATTCAAACTAGCCACTCCTAAACTGTTTACCACTCCTTCCTTGCCTTTCCCATGGAAACCCCAGTAAAGGGTCTGGCTTAGATTTTCCCTTTTGTTCTGTCTTCTGCCACCTGATCAAAATCTGGTGTTTCTCTGTGGCTCTGCATGGCATGTGGTGGCACCCTCCTCCCCTGAGACCTCATTGAAAGTGGGTAATAAAAACAATTCGGTCTCTCCACCTTCACATGTTGTCTACTTCTGGGGAAATCTACTTCTCAAAAGTAGTAGAGAAACAATCCACATACTTTTTCAGGGCACTCCTTTCCTGACGATCTTTTTCCAGTTCCCGGTAACAAGTTTGTTTGCTAATTTCTTTTTCCCAGAAGTTTTTGAGATCGTGACATGTTTCACAGCAAAAGACTTCCCGACGGATGTATTGATTGTTCATCCCCTAAAAAACATAAACAAAACAAAAAACAAATCCCAGCCCTTCAAATAAAGCCACTCTAATTTCAGAGTGGTGAAAGATGAGTTTGAATCCAGACACTGCCATTACACTTTTTGTGACTGTAGACAACTCAACTCACACGATCACTATGAGTCTATTTCCTCAACTTTAAATGGGGATAATAATGGTTATGTCAGAAAATACTGCAAAAATTTTGAAATGAACAAAAAAATATGTTTAGTAACACTTCCAGATTATCTGATTATGTAAGAGCTGGCCACTTTTATTGTCTTTGTGCTAGTTTACAACTTTAAAATATAGAAAAAATATGGTAGTTCAAATCACTCTTGATTGTAGAAATTCAAATAAATTTTGATTAATGGAAAGTAGTTAATATCCCTCTGCATATCAACCAACTTTCTATGTACTTGTAAATTCATCTCAGTATTCTTGATTGCCATATATGTGTGTTTTCTTGAATTCTCCTTTGAAACAGTTGTAATATCTTACTGATTCAATTAATGAGTTGCTTCATTAATTGATGTTTGATAAGATACTTGACATATTTTTGTTTTACATTTGTATGAAAGTCATGATTTTAACTTTGTTGGAAAAAATCATCCTTTAACAGTTACTTCACAGTTGCATGTGACTGTAAAATGGATAGTATATGTAAATAGCAAATAGGCACTCAACACATGTTATGCTCTTTCCACCCTTCATTATAGAATAACAATAACCTCTAGGGTTTTTTGAGAATACAGTGTGAAACAGGCATTTTATCTGCACTGCAGCTCAGAGATGGGTAATTTTACACTCACTGCTCTGATGAGAAAACTGGGAGAGTTTACCTATTACCTCATAACTGAACATGAAAGAGTAGGAATTGGAACCTACGTCTGTCCATTTTCAAAGTAGATGTTTTCTCCTCTGTAAATCCTCATTATGTTTTAAAATGGTCACATCCTAAACAAGCTCATTTGGCGCGTGTGTGTGTATCCCAGGAAAACACACGTTTTCTCAAAGATGTTTACTTTTTACTCAAACACTGACCATTTCACGGATCTTAGTGGCTCTGGCAGGCAGGTAGACACAAAGGGCTGCAAAACAGATCCCTCTCTGCCTGTTGCTGAATGCCTATTCAGTGAAGAGCTTTGGCCCTGGCTGGAAATTGGAAAGGGCCTAGATATTTACTACCCCACTACAAAGTCCCAGTGATTACATGAAACTGGGATTTCCAAGGGCACACATCGGATTGGGTGGGATAGGACTTTAGAAAAGGACATAAATAATACTCCTTTATTATTTTGTATTAATCACATAGTATAGTAATTCTATATTATAGAGTTATAATGTTTTATAATATAGAGTAATTATATTATACAGAACATACAATTTATAATATAGAATGAGTTATAATATAGAATAACACAGAATATTTTAACTTTTATTTATTATGTTTATAATAACAGACTGACACCTGTATTAGAGAAGGGACAAGAACTTCCTACTTGGAGGGATATATAAATGCTCTGAGTAAGAAGGAGCTTGGTTTCCTGGAACTGAAAGCAGCTTTAAGTATTCTATAAAGATTTTTAAAAAAACACTTTGGATAGAGTAAAAAGGAAAAAGGACTCATGGAAATGGACAACAGTGTGGTGATTGCAGGTGGCAGGGGGTATAAGAGAACTAAATGGTAATAGATAAAATACAATAAAATTTTTAAAAAATAAAATAATTTTTAAAAGATTTTATGTATTTATTTTAGAGAGAGGAAGGGACAAAGAGAGGGAGAGAAGCAATAATATGTGGTTGTTACTCACATACCCCCTACTGGGGACCTGGCCTGCAACCCAGGCATGTGTCCTAGACTGGGAATCAAACTAGTGACCCTTTGGTTCTCAGTCCAGCACTCAATCCACAGAGCCACGCCAGCCAGGGCAAAATAAAATAATTTTAAAAGTTAAAAAAACAACTTTTTTTCTTTTTTCTCCTAGACCCATATTGTATTCATCTGGTCAATCCTGTGTCCAGGAGCATGGGGAGGGCATTCTGGGGTTTGGGCAGGGTAGGGATGACAGCAGATGGGTGTGTAGGGAAAAGGGAGAGAAAACATCCCAGTCTGCCAGGGTTTCCATGGGCAATTGTCACTTATAGTCACACACAGATACATGAGAGCCATTGTTCTCTCATTTTTCCCATAAAGAACTTAATTTTTATATTGAAATATATGTTATGTAAATTTAAGGTATACAGCATGTTGATTGGACAAAATTATATATTATAATATGATTGCCACTGTAGTGATAGCACCTGTATCACATCACATAATTATAATGTCCTTTTTGTTATGGGAATAAGATCTAGTCTCTTAGCAAGTTTGTTGATTATAATACAGTATTGTCTATATTCATTATACTATGCAATAGATTTCCAGAAATTATTTCCTCTCCTGTTTCCCCATCCCCTAGCTGAAAACCACCATTTTACTTTCTGTTTTTGCAGTTTCAGCTTTTAAAAAAATTCCATGTATAAGTGATATCATGCAGTATTTGTCTTTCCCTGTTTGACTTATCTCATTTAGCATAATGCCCTCAAACTCCATATATGTTGTTGTAAATGGCAGGATTTTCTTCTTTCTCATGACTTAATAATATTATTTATATATAATTTATTATTATTTGTATGTATCATTTCTTACATATAATATATATTATTTATATAAAATATTTTCTATGTAAATATTTATATATTAATTTATACAATTTATATATAATATTTTAATACTTATATTATTTATATATAATGTATAAATATTTTATACATAAATAATATATTATATAATAAATAATTATATTATATATAATATATAATATAAATAATATCGTATATAATAATATATAAATGTATTTTATTATATATTATTTATATTATTTTTTATATATTATTTATATATACAGGTGTGTACACACATATTCTTTACCCACACATCACTTACCTATTAGAATAGCTATTATCCAAAAGACAAGAAATAACAAATGAAGGATATGGAGAAAAGGAACACGTGCACTATGTTAGGAATGTAAATTGGTGCAGCCACTATGGAAAACAGTGTGGAAGTTCCTCAAAGAATTAAAAAATATAATTATTATATGATCCAGCAACTCCACTTCTGTATATATACCCAAAGGAAATAAAAGGATATTGAAGCTTTATCTGCACTCCAATGTCAGAATTTCAATTACATTATTACAATAGCTATGAAAACAACCTAAGTGTCTATCAGTGAATTAAATGGAAAAGAAAATTGATTTTTGAGAAGTGAATTGACCTTGATATCATACAGCTCAAGAGTGGTGCAGCTGTAAGAATCCAGAGCCAGTACTCTCCCCAACAAACATGCCCATGGCACTGGAAAGGAAGAAGTCTGACTTTGCTGCCCTCTCATTGGAGGTGCCCAGAGGTCCTTCTCTTTCTTGTGGCTGATGAACACTGAGGATTTTGTGACTTTGCAGCGTAGAGTTTCTTGAAGAGAGAGACCAAGTCTTATTTTGGTTTTTAATATCTTGGAGCTTAGTTATTCTTCATTAAATTAAATTAAATGATCTTCCAAGTAAATTTTCCCATAAAAGAGCTAGCCTGGAAATGACAATGGCCCCTTTGGAATATCTCAGACACTGGGGGAAGGTCTGACTTCAGGTGGAGTGATAGTGATTTTGCACTTTCTGGGTAAGGAAAGTGATCAAATCCAGCTACCTTCTGTAGTCTTTTCTCCTGGTGCCTTGTAGGTACTCTGAGCTTCTGCTTGAGTTCTGAGAAGGGAGTAGGACCCATCCTTCAGCCTGATAGAAGCATACTTGGCATCTTCTAAGGACTTAGTTCCTTTATTGTCTTTCCTAGGCTAATGGAGTCAGTACATAGAATTCTAATAAATTCTAAGACACTTGACAGTGATAGAGTGGTTAACAAGTGTATATATCAGATTTTATATTTTATTTATAGAACTAGAGTATAGGATGAGTGCCCCTCTATTGCAATTAGGTTTCCCATGGATTTAGTTCAAGCTGCAGGGTTATCTAAGGCCACTCATTTTTCTTATGTAACCTCTGCCTGTTTAAATGTTTTGAACAGGGAGGAAGGTATTAATGCAGAACTTGCAATGTAGCTAGACAAAAGATAATGCATGATTTATTCACATAGTCCTTTATTACAACATGCTCCAAAAAGTTCATGTTAGGTATTTGGTATTCAGAGAAATAGTTTGGTTACATAAGTACTCATTGGAATTTTTATCTTTTTTTTTTGAAATTTAGATTTAACATTTTCTTCTAATGATTTTTTTTATTTTTAAAGAGGCTTATGCAGGAGCACAGATGGCTCATATCATCATATTGTTTCACATTTCATATTCACCCCATTTTGTAAAACAGTGTGGTTTGGACATAGAAGGAGACCCTGTGATTGCCTGATTATGAAGTAAGTTAAGGAAATAGCTAAAAACAGGGTGGTGTTCAAAAGAAATCAGGGTGAGCCTAAGGGAAACTAGGCAGCAGTTTTTGAAGAATCTGATGCATGCTGGCTCTGCTTCCTGTTTAAACACCTCTTGGGCTTTTTTTTTTTCTTTTTTCTTTTCATCAAGGAGCTTGAGTATGGTGGCTGTGATCTTCGGGGGGACTTAAGGAAGGATCATGAATTCAGATGCCCTCAGGGTCCAACCAGGTATCAGTCACATAGCAGTGAAGCTACTAGACCTGAGCAACAGGGAACAGTGGACACCACAACCATCTGCAGATCACACTCTCTGCTTCAAGACATCCCATTCAGGAAAGGGTCAAACACTGTTCTGGATAAAAAAAAAAAAAAAAAAAGATGACTTTCATCTGGTTGCAGCTTGAGGTTGCATCTCTTAAGTGATGCATTCTCTATCTACAGATTTGGCCTTATTTCTTATTTCCTTAGCTTTTCTCAAAACCTCTCCTGGTACTCTCCCTGCAGGGCATCCT